GACAGCATTCGTATATGTAGGCTGGAATCTCAAATAGTAAACAATAACCTTAATTGGCAGTTTAAAAATGTTTTACTAATTGGGCTACTGATGGTCTTTTGTTGGGAATAACAGTTTTCTAAATTTTAACAAGCCGTTTTATGCCCTTAATAATTGGCCATGCCGTGAGTCTTGTGACAATATGATGCTGATCCGAGATAAGCAATAGTGCTCTGGTCCGTATCAAGTATTTTTCTTCAACATTTTATAGTAAAAGCGATGCCGAAGATTACGTACTAACTGCGTCCTTTGCAACTTCATTAAGTTGCAGATAAGATAACCTCAATTTTGGGACTATACGCTAAATTAAAGGGCAGTTGGCAACGCTAGCTAAAAAACATTTCATGGCTTAAAAATAGTTTGGAAGGGATTACACTTACTGAGCTCACTCACACTGTTTTTGACTTTTCGGCCTTCTCAGTCACGTAAAAGAAATTTGTATATACAACAGAATATGGCAGAACATTTGTTGCAAATGACTAAGCGTGCAAATATTTGATTATTTCCTCATGGTTTTGCCTTGCATGGAAATACAGGCGACATTAAATGAGTTTCTAGAAATGAATTCAGGTATGTCGATATCGAATGGCCTTTCAAAATATTAAAAACAGTCACCTCAAACCCGATGCCATCAGTAGCTTAATTAGTAGCACATTTTTAAGCTACTAATTATGGTTACTGATTACCAATTGAGATTCCAGCCCACATTTTCGAATGCCGTCAATCATGTTTTGTCTACGTACGATTGAATCATCTCATTGGCATACTCGACCAGTATAACACATGGAAGTTGGTCGCAAGATGATAGAGTTCATTTTGACAATCGAGTCGTGATTGTAGCGCCGTTAGGTTAGGTACTGAGTAGTGTAGCGTCGTGGGTCGAAGATAAATAAGTAGAGGGAGGTTGGACAGTGGGTCGAGGGTGTGAAGTTTGAGGCAGATAGTGCAGTGGATAGAGGAAAGAAAAGTTGAGGGAGATAGGGCAATGAGTCGAGGATAAAGAGGTTGAAGGGGATAGAACAGTGGGTCGAGGATAGCGGGGTGGAGCAGTTGGCCCAGGCGAGGAAGACAGGGTAGAGGATCGAGAATAGGAAAGTGGAGAGATAGGGCAGTGGGTCAATGATTTGAGTTGGGATGACTGTATAACTTCACTGGCTCTAAAGTCTAAACTAGAGGTCGGCAAACTTTTGTCGTTTAAAATTAAAGGTTGGTCATTGGTGGGTAGCACGTATTTTAGAAAGTTAAAAACCAAAGGAATGGCCAATGAATCACATTTTTTCACCCAGAAATTTCAGGCAGTGCGCGAAGACTGATCATTTGAATATTTTCAGCGTCATTAAACCATTTGCACTCAGCATCAACTTTTTTAAGTTCTGTTGCCATGTCTCTAATTATAATCAATGATAGGCTCATTAGACGAGTGATTGTGAATTATATACTTGTTAGGTTATAGTATAATTTAGTTTCTCAAAACAAATTTTGTCACGGAAAAAATATATTCGTCTATAAAGCTGTTTTGTTAATACAATTCAGTGGAGCGTCGCGGGCCGAATCCAGATAAGTGTTGCTCGGAAATTTTCTATTCTGAACCCCCTCCCTTTAGAAAACCATGGCTGCTGCGCCCTTAGTTATAGATAATGTTATATTTGAATCACTACCACATTTCGACACCACAATCGTCAAATTTTATTAGTGACGTTAATGGTTCTTCACAGATACAAAATTAACCAAGTCAGTTTTTTAAGTGAACAAATAGCTCGCGGAGCCCTGAGGCTCCGTACGGAGCACTTATAGCAGTGGGGATCAACGCCCGATAAAAGACTCATCTTCTCACCTTCATCGGATAGAAATACATCACTCAAACCATACATATAAGCGGAATAACAGCGAATAATGTATAAAGATTGGTTTCACGTGTATCTTACAGCAAAGCATCCAAAAATCATTAAAAAACCAATACATTTTTTCCCGCCTATTTGCGTTGTCATACATAAAATACAATTACAGATCAAGGCTAGAGGTAGAAAAATATCCGTTGCCGTCTCCCAAATTAAACCTCGATTTGATATGTTGTGTATTATACACAAAGCTTATAATTTGCATTAGTCATAATAAACGCTATTATTCACAATTTTATTTGATAAGTCTCATATAATTTTGTGCAAGAAAAATGCTAGTGTCGACAATAGTCTTAAAATCGATAACTAATTACATGTTTACCAAATGCTTGGGTCACGAGAAGTTGCGGACCCCTGTATTAGAATACTCCATAATATACACTTATTTGAAATGGAAAATTCTGGAAGGCGAGCAAAACCTTTAAAAAAGTTTAAAACATGGGAAATATCATGTACCCGTCCACCAGCACAAACACAAAAAATAAATAACATAAAACACAAACCCACTTAAAACAACACTTGGGCCAGAAATAATCAAACAAAAGATACTCGAATGTATTGAACTTCCGGGCTGTTATACTTTTAAAACAACTAAGATATTGAAGTAATAATGACCAATTCAATGCGTACCGTATATGCTAACAATACGTTGTTAATTAAATGTTTATTTTGCCCCATCCCGAGCAGCACCGTATTTACTCCTTATTTGTGAAATTTTGTTGATTTTACTGATTTTTTCATATTAATCCAACTTGAATATATAATTAATTGAACGACAATCACTGTTTTGAGTCGAGGTGAGTCAACCTCGAGGTTAGACGAGTACGAATAACTGGTTAGCTATAATCACACCCGGCATGAATTGTTAACCAAACGAGAGGCCGTGGTTTGTCATATCGTTACGCCGTCCTTCCTCGCTCATTAAAAGTCAAAAAGCAAAAAATTTAAGAATGAACGCATTACAGTCATAAAATTAACACCTAATTAACTTCAAATTAGTGTAGTCCGAACGACACTTTACCCGAAATAGCCTTAGTAGTAGATCTGGTGCTTTAGTGATCGCCAAGAAATTCGCTCAGAAATCAATCTCCTTTACTTCTGAGTCATTATCGTTAAGATCATCGGCTTTCCTTTTCCCCGTGATAATTTAAAAATTCCTCATTTGCTTATAACGAAGCCAACGAACGAAATTAAAACAATAAACGCATTACGGTCACAAAATTCAACAAAGCACAGGTAATTTCATTAAAATTAGGCTCGTCATCGCCAATGGCTCAGTTAGAGAGCTCTGTACTAGGTCAGCACTACAACAGTCATCAACCATGTCTGATTGAGACTAATCCAAATTATCATTTCCCAAAGCCCGTGGGGATGATTTCCGTTTAAAAGGTATATGAACACGGAAGTCCCACGCAATGCACATAATTGCTAAGCTTGCGAATAGAACAGAGTATAGATAGTTGTGCACCAGGTTATTTTGGATTTGGAAGAGGATTGTCAGAAATTGATTATGGTAGAGACGCCGCTAGCTTCGTAAACGCGGGGCAGGATATAATGGGTCTTCGCAATGATGATAAAATGTCGTGCCCCACTGTTTTGTGTTACTGGTAAATGTATATATATAAATATATTGCAAATGGTTACAGTCACGGTTAATTATCTAGAAATTAATGAAGTCATCGCGAATGTTCCATAGTGAAGGTATTTGTCCTGTGGAAAACCGCTCAGTTTATGATACCCCGCTATAGACCCAAAGGCATTGCTTATCCGGAATTAGATATTATTGGAATACTGTGTAATCAGCTTTTTGTTTTGTCAAGTTTGCTAAAAGGTATTTCAATAGGACAATCACACAGAAGAGTTCACCAAGCCTGTTGTGCTTGCGGACGACGCATTTTTCATAGAAGGCGAAACCATAATGTGACGTCATTATTGTATACGGAAATCATTGTTCTGTCACATGGCAATCAAAATAGCAAGCGCTTGTAATACTTTTAACGGCCTTCTGAAATATAGCGAGCGATTGTCGTTCTAAGAATATTTAGAAAGAGTCAGGAAAATCAAGTCTTATCCGGCTAGCATTTTTCTAATATAATATTGATTTATTGGACATGACGTGAATTTAGATTGTTTCGCTAAACACTTGTTGTTGCTGTTGGGGGGTGATTGTTGTTGTTGTTAATCGCTATTCCCCGTAACTAAATGAGAAATCTATTTCAATTTCGAGTACTTGAATACTTCCCAAATAGCCCTCAGACCTTTTCAGCAAGCTTGGTGCTCTCAGTAATGCCTAACCGTTTCATGTCAAAATACAGGGTCTTCAAAAAGTTTCGCACGATTTTATGGTAATAACAAATGTAAATTTAAATAAATTTTATTGTATATTAATAGATAAGTACAACATCCAACATTTATAACATCAAATTCAATACAAGTTGACTATAAATCTTTTTACAATTAAAAAATAAATTATCATTCGGTTTTAAAGACTTCATGACCGGACGAAACTTTTTGAACTCCCTGTGTTAGAGAATTGCTCGGCGATGTGGCGCATCGTGCCAAGTGTTAGGAATACGCTCTGATTACCCTGCGTGGGCTCGTGGGTTCGAATCCCATGCGGGGATAATTATTGTCGAGAGGATTGCTGGCGGTTCACGTTGGTTGGCCAAGGCTTCCTCCATCATCAAATCCATCCATCTAACCAACTGGAAGCAAATAACTGGCTGAATAATTTTATACCCGACATTAACTGGTAACCGGACGAGAGGCCGTGAACGCCACATGATTGACCCATTTTATTGGCTTTCCTCTCGGGATAAATATGTGAATCCTATTCTTTTGCTTTCGATCTGTGGTTAGATTACTGAAATACACGGCGTTTAGTTTCAACTCCACACGGAATTTCAAGAAGACGACCAGTCCAAATCCAGCAAATAAGCCACCAGCCTCCACAGCTTGAGGAAGATTCATTTGTAGAGACTTACCGTAATTGCCCGTTCTACACTAATAAAAAGTGCACGGCATCATTGATATTAACATTCTTTTTATATCTAGAACTTTGTACTTAACTACAAATCCGCGTTAGCCCTAATAGCACTGTTGCCAGATTACAGAAATGAAACAAAACATTTACCTGATGTTGATGTTCATTGGTAAGTTTGGTTGAATCTTCAAAGTCGACTTTGTTCCGATATGACCTTTAACAAACTATTTCATAAAAATTGACTTCACATTTCGCATCGACATATTTTTTACTTCCTGTATACGTCATTCTAGACTTCCATTAAATCCTCCCCTAATAAAACGATTTTGTCTAATTCATGTTACAATACTCAATAAGTGTTTCTTGTTTTCAGCATTACTTGAAGCTCAGGTGAACGGTCGCCGGGTTGAGTTGCGTAATCGATCCGGAGAAATAACATATGAAAGCGTTAGCGCTACCACAACTAAGAGATGGAATTTCCCTGTCGAATATAAGGACAACCACACACTCTTTATATTTGTTAAAAATGTGTCGATGTATGGATGGATATCAGATTTGAACAGTACAGGCTGCATAGGAGGGTTATATTTGCCTGGTATGCTATATATTATAAAATATTTTTTGATCGCGATTGTCTTGGCTATCCCAAGTCCACTACAACGCAAATGAGTTGTACCATGGGTCATAGGCGTATCCATCTCAAAAATCGACGTTTTTTGCCTTGCTATCAACTCTAGGTTTTTTTTTTTGAAATTGCCTATTCCAAGTGGAGTTGTACCATTCCAATGTGTTGTACCATGCTATTAATCTTTCTTCCAAACAAACCAATCGAGAAAAATTAGATTGTGAGGCTTGGATAACGATAGCGAAGTCAGTATGCAGAGAGCTTCTTTACAATATCGTTGAATATTAGTACCTGCTTGTACCTGGCTTTGTGGTCGGAGCGGACGGCGCGAGTGAGCGTCGTCTAAAAAAAAATTGGCCTCCGCAAAATTTTGACTACGCCGTTGCCACGAGCACTGTCTTACACAAAAGAAGATTCTTACACAGTTTAACTGGGAGAGGAAGTCGTAGGAAACCAAATCTGGTTACTTAGCAGCGACACCGTGGTTCTAATATTGGTCCGACAGATAACGGGCCTTTTTGGACTCAACCTTGTTTTCAGACATGACGTTTTTCTATTTGTGATTATTCATCTTGGGGTCGTTGCCCATCATTTCTATATGGATGTGGAGTATGCAGCCTTGAGCAATTTTTTACCGCTCGATATTTGTATTAGTGTATTTTGTCAAATCTGCGGACCATAATGGCGCACAACTTGAACCCTATTCTGGTAAACATACTATATCCAGGTTGTGCGCCATCTTGGTGCACATACTACGGAAGCACCGAACTTAGTGGGAAATAAAATCAACAACCTTTAGGTATTATGCAATTCAAGAGTCCTACTGCACACTACTGTTTGTCGGTTAGATTCACGCGATATCTCGCGAAAGCGAGATTGAATCTGCTCCAGATTTTGCATGTGCATTCATCTTATCTCGGACCAGAAGCCTATTGATTTTGGGCGAATTATGTCGTATAATTAGCGAGTTATCAATTAATTAGTGATGGAACACAAGGTGTCACTATGGAGTAAGAGCGCTGTTTTGGGGGATCCCCTAACTTTCGATCGATAAGTCTTCGGTCTCTGACCGACATTCTCGTTTGAAAACATTTCGTCACGCCAACCGCAGTCCGAAACTTTTTGTCTCTGGCTGAGTTTAAATACCAATTGGCACTCATGTAAACTGGTAAGAGGCAGGTTTCATATTGAAACGCCACGGGATGGAGCAGATAATATGAGTATCCATCCCCCAGCTGTCATTTGAGTGGGTACTGCTGTTAAATATTGCAAATAATATTGATATTTTTATACTAAAGATTTACTGGCATCACCGATTTAAGGATGTCAAATGCTGAATATCAATAAATCAGTTGAAAACCAACACGCAATATTACAAAACTTACTTCCAACACGCTGTTTGGATGAATGAAAAAGCAGAAACTAGTATTCTTTATAATAGCATACGAATTCTATGGGATGAAATCATACACAAAAGCTCGCCAAAACCTATAGGTCAATTAACAAGTGGAATTTGATGAATGTGCGCGTTACCACGTGCAACCGAAGCACTCAGGAAAATGTGTGTGTTGTACTAGTGATCAAAATGTTTGACTCAACTATGTTGGCATAACAGGTGCGCATCCCGGTTTCGCATACGTATACCCTCTATCTTCACAATGATATATTGAATTTACCGAAGTCAATGCTGCACCTGAAAGGTTCCGGTTCTTCCAAAAGAAAACACGTTACACATCGTTAGATACCAGTGGATGGTTTTACATCAGTGATTCTCATGCGGTTCTCAACAACCTTTCCTGCGGCTCCCGTTAATGTTTTAAAAATTAATTATTTTCAAAGAAAATTTTTCATTAAAAACTAATCATTGACTCGAAATTAAAATGCTGAAGTTTATTAGTTAGTCGAATGGATTCCCCCGTGTTTATTTGCGTAGCGTTGACTAACCTATAAGATGCAATAGTGACGCAACAGTGAGCGTTTTCGCGGCCAATCGGACACTTTTCACTTGGAAAGATTTTTAGACATGGCTGTAATCATTGGCTTGCTTTCGTGGATTTTCAGTTTTTGTCGCATTTCCAGATCTTATGTATAAATCAAATAACTCGATGATTATTTTAATTTCTATAGCATTTTAATTTTGTTCCAGTAATCGAAAATAGTCTCGAAAAATCTGGCGATCATCTCAAGCAGCTACTGCACCTTGCATCCTCAACGATTACGACCCGTTTTGACAAACTTATTAGAAATCGAAGCCTAAATAAATAGCTGTTAGGCTAGGGTGGGCAAAATTGAATTTTTTTTCGAATCGAATAATTTGAATATTTTTTTTTTATACATAACAGGGATCCAGAACTTCGGAGGTCGATACTCCATTTGGAAATTAATAGAAACTTCAAAAAGTCGGCAATAAAGCGTTTTTAAATGGGTAATTTTATCATAATTGCTGTCACCGCGATCGTTTTGGCGGCGATATCCTAAAGTTGGTATTCTATATTTCAGCCCTTTCTTGTTTTTGCAAGAATAAGCGGTCGCCGAATATCGAAATTTCATATTTCTAGTATACCCTTGCGTTCACATCAGCGACAGCTGTTGAATACATCTAAGGACTAATTTTAAAACCAAATTAATTCTATTCTGTGTTTTATCCTCTGCCTTGGATTCGATCTTCCTTATCACCACTTGTAAGTTAACCGTGCATGTTTAAAGTGAACGGTAACCGAGATGCAGATATTTAATATAATGATATTTGAGTTTCTCATGCTTTTCTATGGTGTCCGTGTTATTTTAGTATTAGATAGATAAACTAGCAAATTTACGATTGCGTGAAATCCTGAATGTTTGATTTAAAATAGCGATTAAAATAAATTGGCAATAAGGGCATTTCTAGGCCTTTGTGCCTAATAAGAGGGGTCAGACTCTAATATAAACCTAATTCCTTCAAGTTTTAACGTTTTTTTTTTCAACAAAACAACACCCCGATGGTTATTATAGCTAAAATACTTACTGAGTAATGCTCAATTTTCTTTATGGAATTTGCAAATTCAGCACTTCGCTTAATGATTTTAATTATGTCATACCTTGAGGCTTAATTATTACTGCCCAAATGCTTCAAAATTTAACAATTGTAATCATTTTCGATGATAATAGACGCAACAATTCGTGAACGAGTCAGTGCTTTAAAGAGAGTAGGATATGACATTTCTTATCCGGTTACAACTTAATGAGTGTTTTCCATACAAGTAACTCATACCAGCTTTTGGAAAAACTTTTGGTCATTTTTAAATCCATGCTATTTACATAACTAGAGTGTTTTAACGACCTAAAATCGCCTTTTTCACAATGAAACGCCTAAAAGTCATTTTAACATTTAATTTTAAGCAAGTTTATGTTCGGTAATGCAAGAAATGGCTAATGACATGCCACCAAGCATGCCGAGTGTAAATCTGGGAAATTTATTTTAAATACCTAATCTGGTTTGACGTTTCTAAATTTACGGAACGGTCGGTACGTTTTTTTTTTGCAAAATGATGAATTGAAAGGATACGTTAGGTGCAAAAATAAGCATATAACACCATAACGCAAAGACGACTTTTCAAATTTTTCAATTTTTTTCTGATAGCGAGCGCCTTTGGGAAATCTCGCACAATTCACGATTGAGTTGGAGACGCTCGAGTTCGGTGTCCAAGCAGAGCGGCGCAGGTCACGTGGTACCGGATATCCGAATCGTAAAATGCCATTCGAATATTTTATTATTCGAAAATTTTGCCCAGCCCTAGTTGTTACGTGTGTTGTTTTACGATGAATTAGTATTTTAATTACCGCGCTGAAGTTTTGTTGCTATTTTACCTTGCGTTGTTTATGTGCGGCTCTTCATAACTTTGAGGTTTGAAATGCGGCTCTGGGACTAAAAAAGTTTGAGAACCACTGTTTTACATGGTCTTGTGCGGAGCGAAAGACGAGGTCGAATATACCAATCCATTTCAACTAATAAAATATTTCCCGAAGTCCTGAAGCTTTAAAGCAGGAAAACGAAATTCCCGCGGCAACACAAATGTAGTTTGAAGAGTGCAAAAAAGGGGCTAGATGCTGTCCTGTCAATCGATCTTGGCTTATATTAGTGAAATTAACTACCATTTATTTGCACTCTTCAAACTACTAAAATGGATTTCTGACATTGTAAAGAGATTCAATGTTACTATGTTTTCAAAACTTACCCATGTAGTTATGAAATAATTGTTTTTAACAAAAAGGTGCTCCCGAAGTATTCATACCAAGATGGCGCACAACCTGAACATTGTATGTGTACCAGGTAAGGGTTCAGGATGTGCGTCATCTTGGTACGAATACTTCCGGAGCCCCTTAAAATCTACTTGGAAAAAATTGCTCAACATTATATATTCCACACCCACCTGGGTATCATTATTTATATGTCATCGACATTATATCTAAACAATAAAAAAAACTTTATGTCTCAAAACGAGGTTCGGTCACGATTCTGCCGGACTATATCTAATTTAAAAGATCGAAGATTCAAGGTTTGCACCAATGCTGTTGTCGGCGAGTGTGTGTTTGGCGAATTAACTAACCAACATCGCTTTCTAGAAATAAATAACTATTGCTGATTATATTAAATGCTATTTTTTAAAACAGATGAAAAATGAATTTTATTAAAAAACCCTTGATTTTCAGAAAAGTATGGAATATGCCAGAACCCCACAATAAAATGTCTGTTCTATCAACCTGTCGGATGTATCTTGCCAAATACAGCCACTTTAATGAGTGCGGGTGTAGACGGCGTGGTCTGTGACAAGTATATGTGGTATCGCTTGTCAGAAATGCCAGATTATTTTAGAATATATGGATGGAATCGTGGTGAGAAATTCGCCCAAGTACAGTACAAATATCACGAGTGCCAGAGAAACGAGACCGAATTCTCCACAACAGTAACTGGTAAGTAGACTAGGCTGTTTCCCCGAGTACAGATTACCTTGTTTATATTTCTGAAACAATGACCAATCAGTAATAAGTCAACGACGATATAACGATTGCAATTTGTGGATTTGACCATGTAAACGAATTTTTAATAGCCAACTCTCCAAAACACTCTCAGAATAACAATCGATTCCAACAAAAGTGTATGAAAAATTCTCAATTACAGACTCATTTACCGATCAGACTTCTTCTGTGACCGAACTGATTGTCGGCCTTGCAATCTCTATAGGATTGCTTGCCATCTCTTGGGTGGTGTTTGGAGTCGTGATTATACGAAACCGGTTAGTATCATGTTTTGTAATTATCCTGTTATTGCCCCACCACTAATCAAAGAAAACAGATGATAAAATTAGTGGAGGTGCTTTCAATATATATTTTGTATCTTCGCTTCAAACTATGCGCTGTTCAAGCAGGGGGTTAACGGTCGAACCCGCCCTCTTTTTGAAATGTGAAAAAAACATTTTTCTTCATCATACATAGCAATTTTTCGTAACTAAAGCGCTTTTTAGACCCTAAAGACTGCGGCCGGATCTGAAATGGAAATTCTTGGCTACGGTCCTGAATGGGACACTTAGAACGCTAATTCACTTATGTAATATGAGAAAGCAATTTTATTTTTAGGCTATTTAACGTATTTATTTTATTTTCGTGCCCATTTATTTGAGCATTGAATCTGTTATTACGCAAATTCACTGACTAACACAGAGTACGTGGCCGTGTGTTATACCAGACTTTGAGTGAAGAATAAAAAGGTGCATCAATCCATAAAGGGTTGACAATCGCTGATCTACGGTGATTCTGGTGCAGCCTAATTTCTTGAAAATTTATATATTTAACCTCAGGTCAAAGGCCACCTCACGCGAACCGGATGTCGAAGAAACTGAGGCGGAAGAATCAAACACTCGGGAAATCGTGGTTAATGCAATATATGGAGAAAATTTCGACAAAATGGAAGACGATTCGCAGCATTCTAGCTCGAGTGCTATCTATAGCGTGGTTCATAAATAAATGGGCGTTTGACATTGCACGACGTACGCTAACGGTTTGACGTCTAGTGCAGTGGTCCCAAACTTTTTGTATTTATTATTATAATAAAAAATTCATTACTGATTGAAGACCGATTTATAATTAATTTGAATTATGTTTTTTCAAAAATAGTTCTCATACTTACAAACATTTATGGAGAGGGTTTAAGGTGCTAGTTGAGAAAAGAAAAAGGGCAATATTTATTTCAACTGGACCAATATTAAGGTCTGAATCGTCTGACCAATGATTTTATTAAACACTGAGGCAATATTGAAAACTCGCTATAAAAATATTCCGTCTCTTTCTTGTTATCCCGAGCACTTGCTTATTTTGCTTTATGATTACCTCAGCCCAGGGTACAACCTCCTTGCATTATTATACGCCTACAAATCCGTCAGCATAATTTAGCAAGACTAAATAAGGTTATTAACGCGTTGTCACCCAAACTAATAATTTCAGTGAGATCGAATATTAATAGGATCGAAATTACAGTTACATTACATTTAAATTACATTTAACGACTGATGTTTTTCAACAGCATTGGAGTTATAGACAAATGCTATTTAAACTCTACCATCTTGAATAAATATAAAACCCCTCCCTAAGAAAAAAATAATAATCCCAACATTCTCACGCTTTTCCAATACTACTTTTTTATTTTATTTTTTGTCTGGATAGATCGTGAGCTATGAGCCATACATGTCCCCACCCACGCGAGAGCATAGGATTGTTTTAGCTATCTATCAACCAAACTAGCCCAACTAATTTGGCTATTTTCGTTGTCAAATTTTTATATTGACATTTTTAATATTACATAGTAATAATGAAGAAATATATCAACACAGCATACAACAAAAGCAACTAGGCGCCCATTTTTAAATCATACAGTGGAATTGGGGTCCTTATTAACGGCACATAGACTTTTGGCACGGGTATAAATTCTGACTCTTTGTCGTACGAGTACGAGTGTCATTTAGTCTGTCGACATCGATAAACTAAATTCCGACACAATAATTCCTCTACGCAGGTATTATTTTTAATTTTGTTCAACTACACAATTTCTTTATAGATATATTGACATGACCGCCTAGTCCTAGACTGTCTCAAAATATATGATAGCAATTGTAAAATAATATAAAATAGTGAAGTAAAAAAAACATCCTCGACGGTTATAAGTAGGCCTTCTTTTTGTCGGTGCTGATTGATATTCTTTCATGTTGGCTTTGACTTATTGCGTCGACGATTACGATTAGCCACGAAATAAAATATTAGTAAAATGCTTTTAATTTGAACGTAGGACGGCGGCGCAAGAATGTGTGGGTGCTATTCGTTATTTTTTTAAACACGAATAACGATATTCGAAGGTCGCGATATTAACATTAAATTCAAATTGGACATCCCGGCTTATGAGTTTTCTAATTGAACACTGAGATTATTAGCGTTACTGTACAATTTATCTTAATCAATTAAAGCAAACACCAAACATTAATTTCATATTATGTGATATATCTTTTTTTTAGATCTGAAATGATGTGTACTGAGAACAACGCTCAAAGACCATTGTTTTAACCCGTCTGCCGTACACAGCACCCTTAATTAAGTAATAATTACATAGTATCGGTAATATCGGTCTTTCTGTAGTATCGGCGTATCGGTATCGGCGTTTTTAGCTGGTATCGGTATCGGCGACAAAAGTGGTATCGGTACATCTCTAGTACATACCGTGTTTACCCGAAAAAAAGACACGGTCGTTCAATTTTCTTTCGGAAAATAACACCAGAGCATGTTTTTGGGGGGATGTCTTTTATTTTCATTTGTCAAAAACAAAATTCAAAGTAGAGAATTACGAGATTTTCAAATGTAAAAAATATGAAAACCGATATCCGAAGCTAGGTCTTATTAAGGCTTATAAATAATACGTTTTCCTCTCTCACACGTAATAGATTATTTGTTTAAAACAATAGTTCTCAGCCTTTTTTGACTCGCGACCCCCTTCGGTGGTTTACACATACCTCGCGACCCCCTGACTCACTTTCTATACTTATCAATAAAATAAGTAGCAAAGTGGTGGCGCATTTATTACCACTTTATGGCAGCTCCTGATACAAACGAACCAACGGCAGCTCTTGCCGTGGTTATGGCGCTATCATCTATCAAAACTGTATCCATAAGTAAAATGTTCCAACCTACCCATTATTTATCACCATCAGGAACAGCCCTGTCATTACAGCCGACATGCCGTGGTTACGGGAGCAAAATTTTAAATTTGGAACCCGGAAAATGATGAGTAAGTACCCGACGTTAGATGATAAAACATTATTTGCGATTCATTTAGATTAAATTTTACCTTTCACTACACCCATTTTTCGAAAATACGAAGTTATAACGCAAAACAATGAGTTTCGTGACATTTATTTTGCGCTCCCAATAAAAAACATATATTTTGGATTTCGAGTCTCTGATGAATCCGTTCCTATCGCCCAAGCGCGACACACGTCTGGTCGAGTGTCGGGCGGGATTTTAGTCGACGATAAATTAAAATAGTTGCCACACGTGGTATGTATAACGATGATGACTGGAAATTAAAATTTGATAACATAAATGAATTTGTCTCAACTTGGTATTTTATGAGTTTTGCTCGCAAAAGCAATCGATTTCTGTCAAAGGACAGGTCATTCAAACAATATATAACGATATCATATCAGTCCGATAACGTACATCCCCATTGAACATCGCTTACAGCCAGATAGCTGAGCAGTACACGCGCCACAATATCGCGTTGAGAGAATACCATGACGCATCACTCAAGCGTAACAAGAGAACTGTGTAACATAAACAAACAAAGACGAAAAAAGCGTGAGCGAACTATATTAAGTTAACTATGATTCTGGGGTCTCACGACAGCTAGTGGAAATCTCTCGGAGACAGACGAGAGTCCATTCCAGACCTTTACGCGTTCTATTGACAATATTTAACCTGAAGTTTTGTATTATTTTCTGCTGTTTTGCAAGACCTTTTTTTTCGCTATGACGTCATCAAAATTATTCCCACTGGGTGGCGCTACGTGTCCATATATTTTAGCATAGCTCTCTTGTAACATTATTGGAATGTTTTCATATTTCGAACCCAGCTTATTGTTTTGTCAAGACCACTAAGAGTTATTCCAATGAAGCTTGCATAGAAGGATGAGTGAATCATCGAATTAAGAGTTCATCAAGCCGGATATACTTGCAGACGATTCATTTTTCATAGAAGACGAAACCATAATGTGACGTCACTATGATACAAGGAAATTACTGTTCTGTCATAATGCCATCAAAATAGCAAGTGCTTGTAACACAAGGTAGTCTTCTTGAACGATAATGTAGTGCAGCAGAGTATTATTAGTCAGTTGTTAGTTTGGGTGATTAATTTTGTAAGAGAAATTGGTTATGTCCGCCGCGAATGCATTAATCTATTTTCAGTTCTGAAAAGTGTAAAAAGTCGCTTTAGGGCGGAACGATATTTTGTTTTAAATGTTCTGATTCTATTTGCAATACTACAATTATTGATTATCCCGTATTGCTCTAGTCCAGGGGTTCTCAAACTTTTGGTGTTGCGGAGCCCTTGAAAAGGTTGACTACTATTCACGGAGCCCGAAAATAAATGTTAAAATCGTTACTTTCAGATTAATATTCATGAGAAAGTTAAAAGTACGTTACTTAATTTAAATGATGAACTTTTTTAATAGGGTTAATACAAGTCATGAATCTGAAACTACCGATGGAACCGAATGCAATAAAATAAATTTTAATTGTTCGTATTTTGCCCAGACATTGTGATTTTTCAAACTGCGCTATCTTAAAAACGAATCTTGAGTGCAAAAGAACAAATCAAGTTTGACGAATCCCAAGATCGCAAAAATACGTTTCCAATTTATTTATAGTTGGCAATTTAACACATATTTTATGTTATTTTAGTATTCCTTCATTTTAGTAATCCTAATTGTAATCTTGAATCAAACGTGAGTAACGATGAGCACAATTACATTATAACGACGAGACAAGTTAAATGCTCGCATCGGTCATGGATTGAATATTTTGCGCAACAAACACTCGTTACCCTTTTTTTTAATTGTGAAGAATGTTGCGCGGAAATTTCCGATTCCACTTTTGAATCACATCTCTCTTAAGAATTCTGGCTGCGCTCCTGCCTTTAAACAATGTCATTTTTTAATTCCGTCTCTTTGCCATATTCCGAGGCTATATTGTTGTCAGATTTCATCAAAGCTGTTATTGCTTCTTTGAACAGTTACAAAATTAGTCAGTATTTTGAAAAGTAATCGAATAGCTCGCGGAGCCCCTGGGTTTCTCTCGCGGAGCCTAGGGGCTCCGCGAGCTATTTGATTAGTTTTCAAAAGACTGACTTGGCTAATTTTGTAACTGTCCAAAGAAGCAATAACAGCTTTAATAAAATTTGGCAACAGTATAGCCTCGAAATATGACAAAGTGGCGGAATTCGAGATTCACATTATTTATAAGCAAGAGCGCAACCATAATTCTTAAGGGAGAGGGGGGATCAAAATTGGAATCGGAAATTTCCGCGCAACATTATTCGCGATTAAGTAAAAAACTTTTTTAGTGGATAACGAGATTTCTGTTGCGTAAAATATTCAATCCATGACTGATGCAACATTAAAATGTCTTGTCATAATAATTTAATTGTGCTCATCGTTACTCACGTTTGATTCAAGATTACTACGAGGATTACTTAAATAAAAGATTACTATTCTAAAATAGTAAAAAATACGTGATAAGTTGCCAACTATAAATAAATTGGAATCGTATTTTCGCGATCTTGGGATTTGTCAAACTTGATTTGTTCCTTCGCACTCGAGATTATTTTTAAGCAAGATATCGCCGTTCCAAAAATCCCGAGGTCGACGTTAAAACTCAATAAGTACAATATACAATTGTGCAATCCATGACCGATGCGGGCATATTTAAAATGACTTGTTTATTGGGATAATTGTGTTCAATGTAACCTGCGGTTGTGTCGACTTACAATAGAAAATCATTACTTCTCAAATAACCACGGCAATCCGCGGACATGAAATGAGAAACAATGAAACAAAGTTTAGTGAACGAAGTTCTTGTGGACTACTGTATATCCTGAACAACGCTGTTATCATAAGATATTAGGAACAGAGTCATTTTGCCGACAAAAGAACATAATACCTATTACCGGTGTCACAAGTTTGATAAGATATTTGTGCCCGTCCCGATCAAATCGTAATCATGACTGATTGATTGCGTGGCAGTGTGGCGGATTATAGCGTTTTAGCAAATTCGACAAATTTGAGCCCCTTCTTGCAGCACTGACTCCACCCTATCGCAAGTCTCCCACTCAGATTCTTTGCAAGATATCACCCGATCATCGTTTAAAAAATCACAAGGTCTAGGCAAAATACAAACGATTGAAATTTATGTTATCGCATGCTGCTCCGTTGGTAGTTTCAGAATGGGTTTCGATTTCAGTTACTACGATAAATACCCAAAGAAAACCTAAGATAACATCAAATATATATTGTCATTTGCAATGTCTAAAAAAGCGTTTTGAATCTGTCGTGTGTCTGCTGAAACAATGTTTATAGTGTTATCTTCGGTTTTAAGTTTTAGTTTTAATATTTCATAATGCCGCTTTTCAATCAAGAAATTTGAGTTGCGGATTTACCGCCGATTCGTTAATAATTTTATTTAGCATCTCGTCGCCGATGACTATAATATATTAACATGTTTTTCACATCGATTTCATAATTCCCCACGAGAACAAAAAACCAATTATCGTCGTCATTGTGGAACAATACATTTATATGCCGGAGGAAATTTTTGATTTAGGGAGAATAAACACCGACGTAAAGATGTTTAATAAGGTATAACATTTCTCGCTGACGAAAACAGTCGGCGATTGTACCAAAATGCAATCGCGCAGCAACCTTTTTAAGTCTTCCAAAAATTTCAAAAAGGAAAAAGAATCGACCCCTAATTTATTAATATGTTTGTCACGTGTCAAATTATATATGCCTTAATATATATGATTTATCTTTGAAATTTAGATTTATTTATGACTTGTATTAACCCTATTAAAAAGGTTTAGCATTTAAATCAAGTAAAGTACTTTTAACTTACTTTTAAAATTTATTTTAGGGCTCCTTGAATAATAGTCAACATCTTCACGGGCTCCGTAACACCAAAAGTTTGAGAACCCCTGGTCTATACTATCCGTACAGCCAACGGAACAATACGAAATAACCATTTTCAACAGCCAAACAAAACGGAAACGTATAATCCGACTTGCAACTGACAGGAGCCAAATGGACGTTTTTGTTTTTTGCCGTCCAGTAAACAAAGTCACGTGACCCGTGCAAGTCCTCTATACCTAGATTGCGCAACGATGTAAATTGGCGCCCTTTTCGATCAACGTCGCCTGCGATCTTACAGCGGTTCTGCGTGATCCTCGCCCTCGGCTAGGCTGTTGCCTTCTGCTAATAAATGAAGGGTCGCTCGGCTCGGGAATGGCAAAACAGTGCAACTATTGAAGCTATCAACATACGGTATGCCGGCAGAAGAAACAAATGGGAAAATAATTGTAGGCGACGTCGAGACTGGAAATAATGGATTCCTTGAGCCAGGTTAGTCAAACGAATGGCCTAATATCAGGCTGATACCAGCGAAGACAAGCTAATGGTCTACAAATACCTCCAAGATGTACCGGGTCTAGTATAGTTTAGTACCACAAGTACTTCCGGTGGGCGTAGCATAACGAATTTTGCATATGCTATTCCTAACCCCCACCTGACTATGCCATCCAAAAATTACGTCACTACGACGTCACCATCACGTCATAGGGATTGCCAAAGTATAATTACGATCGCCCGAAATGTCATCTGCGCCGCCGATAACGAACTTGCTAAAGCCGGCGATCTCTCTCCTATCGTGATCGTTGTGACAAGAAAACGGGAGAAATTGCTTGCTCGATTTCGGGTGATCGTCTGCGCGTTTTGGACGACCATCCGCATACTTCGGTGGGCCTTATTACGCCACTGTGACGTCGAAATGACGTAATTTTTCGGTGACGTAGTCAGGTGGGGGTTAGGATTGACATATGCAAAAATTGTTGAGCCAGGTCAACTAGAAGTACATGTGGTACTAAACTATACCAGACCCGATGTACCGATACTAGCACTATAGGTAGACTTACCATAATTTCTTGGGCATAATCCGGGACAAACTCAAAACTATGAATGAAATAACTGGACGAAAGGCCGGCGGCCTGAGCTTTGCAAATTTTTGTTCCATATTTATATCTATAAGCTTTAATATTGCATTACTCTACAGAATCTCAAGTTCTAGATTACTTTCAGCATAATATGACTCAAACAAAACCAAATGAAAGTTATTATGCCTTCTCCAACTCCAAGCATAATAAGGCTTCTGATGCAGCAATTGCTGTAGTTTCATTGGAGTCAATAGAATAATTTTTCGAAATGAACGTCACTCATTATTCCCTAGCCAAAGGATTTCTCAAGCTATGCGCGATATTTTACTCAACCTAATAAGCTAAAAAATTAAGATATAAGCCTCGAGTTAAAGTTATGCCTTTTGGGACGGAATTATTCATAATTTTGCATAAGGTCGGAGTTAATTTTGAAAATTTCACTAAAGTAAAATTCCGGGACATTTTGCTAACCGGGACGGGACACCGGGACAGACGTTTAAACCGGGATGTATGGTTGGTCTAACTATAGGCCCTAGTCTAATCTTACTCAAGGACATGAAGACATAAATTGCCCAATTTCTTGTGAGAATTGAATTTGAGCGGAACTTTTACACAAGCTGAATCTTCTAAAACATCCTCGCGAGACTTTTTGTCAGTTAGGTTATTGGTTTTAATAATAGGCAGAAATTACCTTCTTCTGCTTATATTTAAGCCAAGAGATTACTTCATTTTAAAACTATTGTGTTGTGCAATCACAAATAGCCTACAAATTTTATCAAATTTAGTTCACTAGATAAAATCAGGATTTATGTCAAAAGTTTCAAATTTTAATTTATTAACTGTGAAACAGAAAGAGAACCATATTCGTTGCAATATTTTCATTTTGAAATTGTTTTTAAAATCAATGGAATAATTGTTATCCACAACCTGGCTATTTACCAGACATTTTATGTCCGCAGATTGCCCACACATTTTATATGCATTTTATATCCGTGGTATTTTAATAAAGTATGCTAGTAGGCCAAATGATTTTATTTTTTTCTATGCCGACTCAGCCATGGTTACGTTAAACAAAATTAAATTAATATGGTAAGGCATTTTGAATGCTGGTATTGTTCACGGATTTGAATATTTTGCGCAACAGAAAATCATCCTAGTAAAATTCGATACTTTTAACTATCATTATCAAAATTATTTGCCACGAAGCAAGAAAAGGTATAAATTATATTTATTTAGTGAAGAATAAATTTGACAGATTGCCATGTTTTGCTATACAACTTTGGAATTTGTATCTTGGAAATTGGTGTCCTAAAAGTAATAATAATATTTAATATTTGATCTAAACTAATCGCAAATAATATTGTAACATTTACCGCCTGGCTTTTGGTTTACATCATTTTTTGGGAAAACTCACAGGTCGCAAAACATAATATAATGTAAAATAAAGCAAGGCATTTCTATAAAATATTAATAAAGATTGCTGCAATCACGTTATCAGAATATCGCCACTAAGTCGCTGCTGTTCTGAATATGCCACTTGAGATTACCATGTTTGCTGATTTCACAGTTTTTTTTTTCGCAAAGGTATGCAAGTAATATTAAACCAGTGAGATTTCCACGTGGGAGAAAACGCTCATATTTGAATATTAAATTAGAAACCTGAAATAAAAAAATTGACGCGTGGTGATGAAGAGGCAGAAACCGCAACCTATTGTCAGATCCTGCTAAATTCTAATCCTCCGGATTCGGTATTCTGAATTGCCCATCCCTAACTATGATGGACATATTATTAAGCTAACCAATGTTATTAAGTATATTCAATCAATTATTATCATACTTAATTGAATGAAAAACATTTCTTGGGATTCTTCACGGATCTTTGTAGCTTATTAATAAATAATAACTTCGCAGAATGGCAAAAATATGCATGAAAAATTAATTATAATCGGGCAGTTTACCACACATATTATGTCCGTAGATTGCTATGGTATTTAAAAGCAGTGGTTCTCAAACAGTTGGGTGTGCCCCGCTAGAGGTTAGTTGGAGTGCAGCTACTGTATAGCCTCACTTATGAGCCAATCTCACGTATAAGCCGACCTTCTAAAAACGACTTTATTAAAATAGTAAATTTATAAAAATTTGCGTATAAGCCGACTCTCCAAATCGTAACATGCTGTAAGCAACTATTACAGTCGATGATGTTCAATTCAAATTTAATATTCAAATATTGCTATTCGCTATCTTCTAGTATCGTTTTCAGTGTTTATATTAATAGGGCATATTGCACACACATTTTGATTGAGAACATTTTTCGATATTCGTATTCGAAGACAGCCCCTTACGGCACGACTAAATTACTGTCGACATGAGAGGATTTAAATGAGCGCCGACTTGAAGTACTTACAACACATCGAGGATGTTTTTGATTGAAAATATTTTACAATTATTTTTGTATTTTTAACATAGTCAAGATATCATGGGTGACCACGACAATAAATTTAGAAGCAAATTGTGTCGTAATTCATTGTTTTCATCAATAGTGACCGAGCATACCGGGAAATCTTTGCATTTTCAGCCTATGAAATAGCTCTTAAATATTATTTAGTATCTATGGCCGATGTTATTTGTTAGCCTGGCGCCATTGATGATAATATCGTTCAGTTTAGGTTTGCGGTATTAGTTTATGAAAAGTAACTCGGCTTATATGCAATTATATACGGTAATTAAAAATGAATATATTTGTTAGATTTCGATATTTACGTTCTATCCACATATTTTCAATGTGTTATCTTGTTATTTTTGAGTTTGACACAAGACTTGACGAATTTTATAAATGAGGTGCGATTTTAAAGGTTTGAGAACCAATGTTTTAGAGTCTTATTAATGCAAGACACGATAATGCAATACCTAGGTGCTGGTATCGGTCAATATGAACAAGTGGGCAGTAGTTATCGCTTCATTTCAGAGCACTAGCTGAAAAAGTCTTCACTATTACTCAAGATCTCATTACCCTTCTACATTTTATGCTCACAGTTGATCTATTTTTTAGTACAAAGAGAGTGGGCCATTCTAACAGAAGATTAGCAGCCCAGATAGACAGAAGACCATGATCGGATGATAATAACCTCAACTCAACATTTTATGAACATCTGACTTGTTCATTACAAAATACCTTGTGTGATGATATGGCGATGGGAAGGTAATTTATATTTAGTATTTGATGACGGATTCTAGAGAGTGACATGATTTTACTGATATTGGAGTAAAGAGTCAAAATTTCAAACTTTTGGTGAAGACATGAATTTGTAATTTCTGAAAGAAACTGAAAAAGCATTGAATCCACAGTCATTATTTGATAGACAATTCAACAAATTTGTAATTGAGAGCCAAAGTAAGTTCTAATTTAATTCAAACGCGGATGGGTTCGAACCAGAGGTCTACAACCTATGGTGCCGGCATAATTAATAGAGCAATGGTTCTCCACATTAGCTCCGTGGCACTCAAAGATTCTGCCAATACAGTCCGCAAGGGTCCGCAAGTTTAATTTCAAATCCGAGAGTCTAAATTAATATATGTATCTTGCTTATAAATTATCAAATATACATTAGGTTTGCTACTACACCTCGAAGACCATTTTGTTTTGCCAGTTTTATAATTGCCTATTTACTGTTTATATCAGCGGTTTCCAAACTTTTTGTTCGTGCGGCACCAAATTTTTCAGGAAAAAACTCATGTTTTTTAGCTTACCGCACCCTTTCACAATATATGCTGATTTTAAATTAGTATGCCATACAAAAGAGAGGATGTTAAGCTTTATTGTTTTCTGCAAAATAGTTATCCTCAAATCAATTCAAATACTATCATTTATTGAATTACCCTGTTATCCCCAAAATAGAAATTGCACTATCAGTACTATTTGATGAGTACAGTATTTCCGGATATTAGGGCAATTTACAAGACCTACCGGTACCTAATTTATCAAACTGATTTACTGAAAACTGAAAATAACGGGAGTCAAAATTGACCAGAGTGGTAGCTAAAAATACGCTCATGAAAATGCATAACTCTGTACTTTCTTGTTACTCATTTCATAGAAAGTTTGCCTGACTTGATAGTAGAAGATGAACGAGAGGGCCTTTACAGTTGCGCAATTTCCACGCAACACTTGAAATTGAAAAAAAAAATGAGGAACATACTCAATTTTTGACGCTGCCATGTCTACAAAATTTTTTTGCCGCGACTGCTAAGTTTCTTGTCGAATAATACTCCAACGCACAAGTGGTAAAATGAGACACCTATCGCAATGCTTCCCAATCGGGGAAGAATTCTGCCCAAGGGAGGAAATTTGCTTTTTTATATATAATAAGCACTTCGAATTGTGTAGCACAAATATTCAGTTTATTATGATAAATCACCTAAACTGTACAAAAATGGGACTGGAAAGCGGCTCATTATAGATTCAATAAATAATATAGAATTCGTAGAGAGAGAGGGCGGGTTCCAAAATAGGTAAATGGGGAAGTCAATGAAAGGGTACTGAACCACAAACTCATAGTCAAAATTAAAATGCATGCTGTAGTGTCAACAGATAATATATCACATTGGTAAGAGTGTTCTGAAGTGGGAGACCTTAGTTTGGAATTAGTCAACCCAAAGCCTCAAATATTGGTTTCCATTGTTTCTCGTTTATAATTTTTCCGGTTATATACAAATTTATTTTTTTCATCAGATTTTATAGAAAAAAGTTGCACATTAAATTATGTTATCCCGCGACCCCCTCAAAAAATGCGACACCCAGGTTGGGAACCACTGACAATTATACACCAGTTAAATGTCCGATATCGTCAGATCATGCAACTCTTAGTAACCTTAATCTTAATGTTGATATTGTTATTATTTTATTACTGCCTGTAGTTCTAATGTGTACGGGATGAATAATAATGCTTTAGGAAAACATTGATTTATCGTGACAAATGTATTATAAACGGGAATCATTTTCGTACAATATAAGATTCCGTTTTGGATTTTAAACCTAATTTAAAACTTCATTTTTCGTATTTTTAGTGAGAACGTCTTCAGTCAGACATGATTGTCTATCCAGTAATTGCAATATTTCTGTTTGCAATACATTACAGTACAGCATTTATTGAATTACAGGTAACTAAAAATAAACTTTCCTTTGTTTGAATTATTTATGTATTACTCCTCTGTTGATATCTGTCTATCTGATACTTCTGTGACCAAACTATTCTTCTATCCAAACATTTATAAAGCTGGAAAGTTGTTTAGGATACATTGCATCTCTTGCTTCAAAAAAGATTCTGTATGAAAAGCCACTTAAACATAGAATTATGTTTGAATTGGTGTGAATTTAATATTGATGATATAGTTTAGTCTCCAAATTTTTTACACTGCAGATAATATTTGTCTTGGACCCAAAATTTCTGGATTCTGGTTTTGAATTCTCTAGAGTTGGGAGTTGGAATTTAAAATTTCTGACACGTGTATAATGCACTTAGTTGATTATTTTAAGCACTACTATTAAAGGAGACTTGCATACGCCGAAGTTGATTTCTCCTAAAATGGAGTGTTTGACTTCAATAAGATGTAAATGAAGTTTTATTTCATAAGGGGCTTGAGTGATAAAAGAAAATACGTTCCAATCTCATTGGATTACAATCTACAAGTTTTCTTGCATCAATGCAGCATTCTACTGAATAGTTTCCTTCAGTCGAAGAATGAATATCAGTCTGATAATCACTATGCCGCATTTTTTTCAACGCTACCAACAATTGGCAAGTCTTTATTACCAGCAACAAATCATGTATTTTAAATATTTCATTTTGTCTAGTTCTATTTACATATCTCAATTATACCGAATCTATACAGAAATGAGCATTATTATCAGCACTGACCAACGTTCAATCAAGTATCCTAAACATGATTGAAGTATGACTGTGGTAAATTATGTTGTTGGTGGTGATATTAAGGTGATAACAAACACAATATATGGTTTTGACCATAAAAGGCATGGCGAACTGTCTGTTAAATTGACGCCTTATTGCCATATTTCATTAATGCCTTACCAAAACATTTATATTCGATACATATTGCAGACCTGGTGCCAGTTACTGATAGTTCCATCAAGCCTTAAACTTCTTGAGTCTCCATAACATCACATTACCAATAGTATACTGTGGGCTCACGTTTCGACTATTTTTACAAAATATGTTGGTCGGAAATGTACAAAAGATTCAATGTTGATGCCCATATTTACTCAGTCCATCAATATTCAAGTAAAGGTTAGTATAGGTATCTTCAGACCTCTTTTGAAAATCAATTCATATACCTGAATAATCTACTATTTTCCAATACATCTAAATTATTATTTTCGATAATAAATATCCAATATATTCCTGAAATAAAATTAAGTAATATAATAATTAAGGTAATTTGCATAAAATAAAGCCCAAAGTCTGTAAAATCGTATTTCCAAACGAAACACCATAAAATATTTTGTGGATACGCGTATGCATTGCCGTACTCGGTCATATATTTTTGGACTAATGTGTACCGTCCACATCCACTTGCAGTCAATATACAGGGAAGTACTTGTAGTCTTAGAATGGTATAACAAAATTTGGGTCGGTGGAAAAAAGGTCCAGGAACCATTGCTATATCTGGACAAGTGAGCTGTAGTTCGCCTCATATCAGAGCACTAGTGGAAAAAGCTTCAATCAGCAATGTTTCTATAGACCCTCTCCACCAAAAGGTGAAAAACCACTGCTCTAAATCTTAAAATTTTTATAGATGTTTTTTCAACTACTCTACTCACGTCAACTACTTAATTGAAATTTTACTTTTTTTCATGAGGTTTATCATTTTTGCGCTCTTGCTTTCAACCTAATGACAATTTGTTTTTGTCTGTTGTTTGTCTCTGTGATCCGAATCGTATTTTTGAAGAGAGTTTGATCAGTAAATCGTATAATTCAGTTCAAATTTGTAATGACTTATAGTAGCCGCATTCAGCTGTCAGTGAGGTGTTTTGCCTCCTAAGTGAAATCTTCGAACATTTTTCTGCGCTTTGTATTGTACTGACGATGAAATAGACCTGGCACTTTGATTGTTTGTTATCTTCGGTGTGAACGTGCGCCTCATATTGTTGCACGATTCAGTGATTGACATAGCCGCTATTCCCCTGCAAGGCTTCTAATTTACAAATTCATTTCGATGACGTCGAAAAATTTAAACTTACGGTATGTAATGCCACAAGTGTTACGATACCCAATAAATTGTCGCAAGTCGGAATTATTGGGAAATATAATTCATACTTTTTCTCTCTTTTCTGCAAATAATTTTGATAATGATAGATAATAGTATAGACTTTTCACTAGGATGATTTTCTGTTGCGCAAAATGTTTAGATACCAGCATCTAAAACGCCTCGCTGTATTATTTTGATTTTGTTCAACTTATCTCATGGTTGCGTAAAATAACGAAAAATGAATGCCACGGCAATCAACATGAAAAGTTTTAAACTGCCTGATTATAATTAATTTTTAATTTGTATTTTCGTACCTACTAACAATGTGAAAAACAAAACTACTTCTAAAATATCACGGCGATGTGCGGACATAAAATGTCCTGGTGAATAAGCCAGGTTGTAGATAACAGTTATTCCATTGTTTATTGTATGCAAACTTCTTTATACACTAAAATATGCTTTCTTTTATTTGAATTTTTTTCGAATGTATCCGATATTTCATATTCGAAAATAATAATTCCAAATGTATTGAAAATGTGAACTATTCGCCATTCGGTATTGGCCATCTCTGGAGTGGAAAATATAGGATTACTTGTGTTGATCATCTTAGATGGTATTAATTTGCTTGATTTTGGCTTTGAGAATGACAATATTGTTGATAGTAATGACATTATGGATGTAATGATATTCATATTTTAACCCTGGGGTTCGTACTAAGAGGACCAGAATAACCTGTTAAATATGACCACGGAATCATTCGTTGCTATGGCAGGTGTAGCGTAGTCCTGCCACTTGATTTATTTCCATTGTGATTTCATATTGTTTTATTTATAAGCTCATCGTGTAACTGTTTTTTGATTTTAAATATTTTATATATGATTTTTTATATTTGTACAATTGATTATAACTCCGATGGGATTTTTGTCATTTACGTGTTATATGTCTTAGCTGGGATTTATACTGTTATAGGATTTGTAGTTACCGGTAGGCATTTTATTTTATTCCAGAGTAAATTTTTGGGTATACTTCCTGTGAAAAATCGGGTATTGTGCCGGGACTAAATTTGGTTCTTTTTTATTGTTTCATTTATTGCAATTGTATTGTACTATGTGCAGGGGTTTGCGGAAGCTGCGGTTTGACCAATGATTTAATTTGGGTATATTTGCTCGACTCCGTCACCTCTGTCTAATGTGACATTTTTTATAATTTTTTTATTTCACTGCTTATGAGGTTGAGGTGTTTTTGTTTCTCTTTTTATAATCCGTTCAAATTTGTGCATTTCCAATGGGAAATGCACTTCCTTACCTGCTTATATCTCTGTTCAAATGAGATGAAGTAATATTTTTTTTAGAAAAGTCTTGATTATTAAAAACTGCTTTAAAACACATTCATTTTATCTCAAATTATACCTATTTCTAGTTTTGTAGAGGAAATATTCCCATTTTATAGTTGCTTTGTGTGTCATAACGAATATCCTACATATTATTTTCAAAGTACTGGTTTATTGTATATTAAGCTGCCTTTCCTTTCTCCTCGTCTAATAATCTATATTGCAGTAGCCACAAGGATACTTGAACGAGAAAGTATCAATAATCTCATTCCACATTTCTTAGATTATAGTTGACCTGTAATGAAATATTAACTATATACAGAAATAAGTTTTTGGCTTCGACCCTTGGGCTAGAATCAAACAAAAATAAGTTTAAGCTTGACCCAACAGCAATAAGTTTTGGCTTAGACCCTTGGGCTAGGATCAAACAAAAATAAGTTTGGGCTTAGACCCTTGGGCTAGGATCAACCAAAAGTAAGTTTGGGCTAGACCCAACAGCAATAAGTTTTGGCTTAGACCCTTGGGCTAGGATCAAACAAAAGTAAGTTTGGGCTAGACCCAACAGCAATAAGTTTTGGCTTAGACCCTTGGGCTAGGATCAAACAAAAATAAGTCTGTGCTAGACCCAACAGCAATAAGCTTTGGCTTAGACCCTTGGGCTAGACCCAACAGAAATAAGTTTTGGCTTAGACCCTTGGGCTAGGATCAAACAAAAACAAGTCTGGGCTAGACCCAACAGCAATAAGTTTTGGCTTAGATCTTTGGGCTAGACCCATGGCTTAGACCCTTGGGCTAGGATTAAACAAAAATAAGTCTGGGCTACCCCAATAGCAATAAGTTTTGGCTTAGACCCTTGGCTAGGATCAACATAAATAAGTTGGGCTAGGATCGAACAAAAGTAAGTTTGGGCTAGACCAAACAGCAATAAATTTTGGCTTAGACCCTTGGGCTAGATCAACAAAAAGTTTGGGCTAATAAGTTTTTGGCTTAGACCCTTGGGCTAGGATCAAACAAAAATAAGTTTGGGCTAGACCCAACAGCAATAAGTTTTGGCTTAGACCCTTGGGCTAGGATCAAACAAAAATAAGTTTGGGCTAGATCCAACAGCAATAAGTTTTGGCTTAGACCCTTGGGCTAGGATCAAACAAAAATAAATTTGGGCTAGATCCAACAGCAATAAGTTTTGGCTTAGACCCTTGGGCTAGGATCAAACAAAAATAAATTTGGGCTAGATCCAACAGCAATAAGTTTTGGCTTAGACCCTTGGGCTAGGATCAAACAAAATAAGTTTGGGCTAGATCCAACAGCAATAAGTTTTGGCTTAGACCCTTGGCTAGGATCAAAACAAAAATAAGTTTGGGCTAGACCCGAAATAAATAAATTTTGGCTTAGACCCTTGGGCTAGGATCAGACAAAAATATGTTTGGGCTAGACCCAACAGCAATAAGGTTTGGCTTAGACCCTTGGGCTAGGATCAAACAAAAATAAGTTTGGGCTAGACCCAACAGCAATAAGTTTTGGCTTAGACCCTTGGGCTAGGATCAAACAAAAAATAAGTTTGGGCTA